GTGTTTAATTAACTCTCATTCAAGCGACAATGCATATTTCCCAGTGGGAGTGAACTAGTTCGAATCTGCCATTAAAAAATAGGGGTGTTTTCAGCAAAAAACGAATAACCCTTGAGTGCACACAATACACTGAAATTCAGAACAAATCTTGCATTAGTTACAGCAGCAGAATATCACAGAAATATCAGACGAAACATGAAAACACTATATATTGTATTTTGGCCTGAGCCCTCTCTATTGCAATTCCAGGAAATAACCCCATATGTGCATCCATTTCCACCTTGGTATCACCCAACCCTGAAAACAAATTCTTAATACCACGCTGAAGCGTTTGGTAATAACAGATTTATGCATGAGTTTATTTGCTGGCTCATTTTATTTGAAGAAATATTGCCAGAGAAGAGTTACTATGTAATTTCACATGTTTAGTCTCAATGTGCAGCTCCAATTATATGCTACTTGTTTGACATTTTAGTTAACCATGTGTTTATGCAAATCCTGGTGTTCAATGGCATTGTAAAAATAAATGACATTTTATGAACAATATAAAAAATGCTTGGTTCATACATGCTACAATTTGAGATGCTTTTTTTTATAAACAACAGCAACAAATATCATTCACTCAATAAGATAAGTCGATAAAAGTACTATACACTTTAAAGATTGTGTAGACTTGGGATACGGATACAATTTTTAAATAAAGTAATAATGAGAATCGTTATAGTCACAATACATTGCAATGATACATCTATTTTGGATAGAATTAGGATGTATAAAATCAATTCTATAAGGAATTTTAAAAAGTCTACAAAAATACTATACCATATTCCGTGTCGAATACCGAATCTCCAATTCAGTAGTCCTAGAATCTGGATTTGGTGATAATGTGACAACTGTTTGCACTTAATATCATCCGATAGCTAACAAAATATACGCATTTTGATCACTAGTGTCATAATATGGCCAAAAGTTTAATACAAGAGTCTTGTTCGAGAACAACCAATGTTCGACGTTCATTTTATGCGACTGCTCAATTTTCGGACTTTCTTGAATTTAGTTAATATGACAATGATGACAAGTTTTTTTTAGACAATTCTGTGCTGTGCCATTACTAGTGCAATCCAACTGCACATTCTACTGGAACATCGATGAACATCATAAAACTCCAGTATTCCGTAGTGTTTTAACAGGTTTAATACAGGTGCCCGATCAATGAAACCAAATCGTAACAAACGTTTAAAAAACATCCCCCAAACCCCTAAAACATCCTCACAAGTAACAAACTCAGCTTTAAACATAACCACTTAGTGACACACACGCCTGGCATACAATTGACGAGCTATAACAGGCTTCTAACAATCACATTTGTGCGAGGAAACGTATACTCGTTCGCCCAACAACTGCCTGATTATAATTAACTGACATTTGCTCATTCAGAAATGTTCTCAAATTAGCTAGAATGCTTTAATTAAGTTTTTTTTTCAGTTTATATATTTAGTTTATATAACACTGACCGAGCAGGCCTTTTTACGTGCATCGCATAGGTTCCGATTATCACCCTTTTTATATATTTATTTTTATATTTCAAACTGTATTGGTCTACCAATTAATACTCCCCAAAACGAACCCTGGGATATTATTGTCTAGTATTTACTTTGCTATTCCAAAGTATCAGCCGATTTTTCAAATGTTTAGTCAATTGTCCCCAGATAAAAGATAGACACCAGATTCAATATGTTTACTTTCTTGCTCTGTTTATTTTATCCACGCGCTTTTCTTTTTGACTCTATCATTGCTATTTATAACTGACATTTCAGGTAAATACAAGTTCAGGTAAATCGCCTTCAGATATTACGTCATCATATCCCAGGAGTAATCGTCAAAATGTCAACATCACAAACGTCTACATAAATTTAAGTAGTTGAAATTCCATGCTTGGAAATACAAGTGACTCCTACGACGTTTAGGTTTCCTCTCTTTTGAACGTATGTTACATAGCAACTGTGATAAGCATTTTAAATTTTAAGTTTCTAGCACTAGTTTACACAACGAAAATATATGTTTATGTATTCTCAAAGCATACTACACATCGATCAAATATTGCAAAATATGAGAATAAAGTTGACATTACTAGTTGGTTATAACATTAATGTAGTTGGACTACATTCAACCCACGCACAAATACTTATGAAAAAAGCTACATTTCGTATCATCTAATTTCCATTCATAGTCATTGAACCTGTGAATACAAAGAGCAAAGAACATTATCAACACAAATACATTCGTAATAGCGTTTAAACTAGCTCAAACAGAAACACCACTTATTTTACAGTAACATTATTTTATGAACCCGGCCCCGACATAATTAAGATGAATAGTATTAAATGAGAAATATATGAATCATGGAACCTACATGGAGAACTTAAAAATAAATTCCAATTTGATGACATGGTTGATAATACAAAGTTAAACTCACCACAATTGGAGGCAGGCCCCACTGCCATTGGGTTCATTATCATGGAATAGTGAATGGTCAATTTCCATCGATGTGCCATCACTGAAGATAATTATTCTGCCTACAATGATGCCATCAACCCAGTAATGCTCACCTCCGACGATCACACGCAGCGCTAAATCCAAACTAGCATGATTAAAAACTTTGTATAAACTGTGTGACGCACATATTGTTGGATTGTCATGAGGTCCGTGTCCCGTACTAATCACTGGCCTGGCTGTAAAAAATGTAAAATCATGTCTAAATTACAATCCTATCTTACATAAATGACACTCGAGGTAATAACAAATCGATAGGAATGCCGTATATTGTGGCATGACAGCTTTCTTTAAATACAGCAAAGTATCATATCTGTCCGGATACGTATCACTGGTACTGTATTTTTTCGATAATGATTTATAACGCCCTCTGATATTTGTAGGATATGAAATGAGGCAGATTACTGTAGCCATGTGTTAAAAATCAAAATAAACACACATACAAATAAAATAAAACAATTTAATAATTAAAAATTTAATAAAAATCAAATTTTGGAAAAGATTAAACCTAGTTTTCCGGAGTTTATTGAAACTCGAATCCCCCATCAGAGGAAATACACTCTGGACTATGCAAACTGTACACATCACTGCTCAACATCATGTTTCCTACCATGTACGCTACAGTTCCGAAATGTGCTACAGTAACTTATAACTGGATACAATCTTTATATATCAAGACCATGAAATGTCTCGCGAGAATTACATAGACATCAAGTATTGAAATAAAACTACATTGTATTTTAGAATTTTGTTCACTCTGTGTTATAATTGAAATTTATTTCGCCTATCTTAAAAAAAATGATCGAGCGGTGGTTCTGGTGTTCATCTTTCATTGAGAAAATGCTATTGCCGGTTTAACTTCTGAAACAATAATGTCGATCGAAGCACCTACTGTACTACAGCATCGACTCGTGTGTCTTTTTGCATGATTATTTGCATATGCTGATCAGGAGAGCCATCATGGCATATATACTGCGTTGTTGTGTATATTCAGAAACAGATTTCTCTATTACTGCTCATGTAATCAATATGTTTGTGTAAGCTGAACAACCTTTAAATCTGTAACCATATGTCATGATAATGTGTCTGAAGTTGTGAATATTAAAATACACGATTTGCATATTATTTGCATATGTGATCTACAAATATTTATTATTTTCGTAGTATTGCATGTAGTGACGTGCAATATTGCATATGAGACTGGCATGTGTAAAACTCTTGGGCCAATGCGTTAGTATGCCTTAAAATGATCTATACAAATCGTGATCACTATTGAATTTTTTTTGGGGTCATAACATCTGATCAGACTTACCAACTTTCGCGGACGTTAATTGTATATGTTTCAATGTATCCGTTGTAATACTTGGCGATTTGGAATCCACAGTGATTACAGATGGTTTATTAGTTGACGATGCCTTAGATCCTGTCTTGTTTGTGTCCATGGGCGTATTTCGAGTTCTGGTAGATCCTTTGGTTGTTGCCATTTTTTCCACGTGTGTACGAGTTTCGTATTCGTATAGTGTGCTCAATTCACGTGAACTAAAATAACTACGACAGTTTGAGCTGAATTCAAAAAACTTAATGTATAACTACTAAGCTTCACCGGTTTTATGTCAAACTAAATACCAGGGGTAGAATATTTGGATGAACGCATGTATTGTGTCAAGAATGAACCAGTGGTGGAATAATACCACATGAAAATAATAAAGGCCGTGAAAACATCGTTGACCAATATTAGAACTGCAGTGAAACTTCAAGCTGTTTAACTAATGCAAGATATGAACCAGGCAAACTAGATACCACGAGCTCTGTAGCAAAGAATTTACTCAATTCCGTGGTTCTGTAGTTTATAAACATGCTGCAAACCACGCATTGGATACAAGACACGTTGAAAGTTTCAACAACACAAGTAAATTGCGTTTCACTGCAGGCACTACGAAATGAGAAAAAAAACTTAGCTGTGTTACACTTGAACGGAAATACCGATCGTATTTGGAACTTGCCAGATTACGGCAGCGGAACATTTAAAAGAAAAAATACGTAGAACATAATACAACTGTCGACAGAGTACACGGGGTAGGGTGATCAATGTAGTGCAATAGACGCGATCCCTGGTAAATTATTATAGAAACCCAAACGCAACATACGGAGATGGTAACGAAAATTTAATAGCCGTATTAAGGTAAAAAAAAATATTTCACAATTCTAACGGAATATAAAATGTTTGTCATCTCATCGAATCTGGTCAAAGAGTCAATTCGCGTAACTATAATAATCATAACATAATAAATTTTAAAATAACACTACAGTACCTTTCGACTGTATTTGGTCATACACACGAAAGCCAATGCACGCACAAAGCAGACACGCTAAGATCAATACCATTAGCGAGAGATATCTATCTCGACGTTTATAACCAACCATGGCTGCAACACAAATTAATGTTCAGTACAATTTAACTAGTGACAGATGTGCGGTGACATATTCCAAGCGCCTATATTGAAAAACAACGCCCTAATTACAATAACCACCTCGAGACTGGAAATATACAAGTAGTTAAGGTCGTATTATACGTACAATTATGAAGGCGCTGTTCATATTTGATGTGATGACGTCATACTGGGTTCGATGAAGTCACAATTTGGACCATGTAAATTAGCATAAATGATGACGTCACAATGGGAACCGTGCATAAATTAGCAGAAATGATCGTACATGGCCGTGAAGGGGCATTTGAATGATGACGTCACAATGGGATACTGTGAATAAGTTTGGATTAATAAAATATGTTTGGATACGAGGTCGTAACGAGGTCATCGTGAATAAATTTGCATAAATTACCATAATTGGAAGAGCAATGACGTCACGTAAGATTTCCAAGAATGTATCGTTGAGGGCGCGCGCGCACACACACACACGCCAATAAATACACGTCATTTTGAAAACTAACGGATTTTATTACACAAAAGAAGGGTAAAACTAGATCAGTTACATGGAATATAATTTTTTTTTGAGTAAATAATAAAAAAAAATATTAAAAAAATGAGTAATATAAGAATAAGAATAATATTAATAAAATAATATTAATAAGAATGATATTAATAAGAGTAAGTATTAACACTGAGTAATATAAGAATAAATTTCTCTCACGCAATAAAGTTTCAATTATAATAAAAAAATCGTGGAAGAGAAAAACGAGTAACATCGAAAAGTCAACACACTTTTTATTTCTAATCAGAATCATAATCGCTCATCTGTGACGAAAAGAAA